CTGATTTACTTCAAATCTGGTGTCGTCTGGATCTTGATGGAGATCCCTTACAACTGCTGTTTTCCAAGCATGTTAATGAGCACCTGGCCACACCTAGCCCTGCCCATTTGTGGATTGACAGCATTTGCTCTGTTTTCAAAGCCATCCCGCTGTGAGCCGCAGTATCAGGGAGAAGGAGCATGTGAGACACAAATGAAGGAGGATTTGGCTCAATCAGAGAAGGTAAAGGAAGTTTCTTTAACTTCCACTAAGGGACACAGGAATGTAGTAAATTCTTAGACATTTGGGATATACTGCTGCCTGCAGGTGATTAAGACAAAATAAAAGTTAAACCAGCGTCTGAATAGCCCTGCTTCTGTCATGCCTCAGTTTTTTTTCTAATGTCACAGGAGATGGGACACCTTTTGTTTAGCTGTGCTGGGAAAAAATCTTAACCTCCTAGATTGTAAGCTCCAAAGAGCAGGGCCCTCAAATCCCTCTTGTATCGAACTGTATTGTTACTGTATTGTCTCCCACTATAATGTAAAGTGCTGAGCAAACCGTTGGCGCTATATAAATCCTGTATAATAATAATAACCATATTTTTGCTAGCCTGTTTATGCTGATGCTGCTCAAGGGCAGTCAGCGTATCTACAGTAACAACTTTGGAGATTGTATCCAAACCCTGCTGGACTAAAACACTGCAGGGGTTAGCCTGGAATGTAACTTTTGGGCACCAGACACTATTTGGGGCAGTTCCCAGAACTTATTATACTGTGTTAATGAGCCACAGAGCACTCTCCAAGTCTAGAGCTATGACACAGCCTCTGGTGTGACCCAGTCTCTGAAGACTCATGCAGTGAGTAGGCTTCTGGATGTGGCAAGGATGACCTGGAATGTGACCTTCAGAAACTGAGCTATGCATGGTTGTACTTTCCAGATCTCTGTGTACTGTGTTAGTTAGCCACAGAGCTCTCTCCAGGTCCAGATCCAAACAGCTTATGATATCACCCAGTCTCTCAGGTCTTACGTAGCAAGGCTGGTTGGCTGAAGCACTGGAATCTACCTCACATTTGATTCCACCATCTTACAGCAGTTTGTTTTAAGGCTGAGGAAATTGAGCGCTGCTGCCATCTGCTAGGTGGAGTGTAGTGCATTCAGCATTCTTTCCCCTGCAACCCAGCAAACTTCCTACTGCTGCTCATGGTTTTGCAGTGCTTTGTGAATCAACCACTCTTCTGTCTTGCAATACTGCCCATATGCCAGATGTGCACCATTGTGGAAATCCTACATTCCCCCATCCTAGGAGGATTTACCTAATGGTTGTATCCACTTCTTTTGTCTTCAGTCTGGTTTTAGAACAGACAGTTTCCAAAGTCAATGGAGGATCCTTATGCTAGTTGGTCCTTTCATCTGGCCTCTGCTAGATCTCATCTGAGGGTTGTTAGATTTTCACCTCTAGAAAAAAAAATTGAGAACGCTCCTGAATCCGACTGGATGATCTATTATTGACTCTGAAAATTGTTGGTTGTCTCTTTTTTGACCACATGTTTTTTTCTTCATAGAGTCCAGAATTTGGTCTCCAAATTCCTACATCTCTACCCAACCTTTAAGAGCGAGGGTTCCACACATGAGTTTGGAAGGAAGTATCAATTGCTAATAAGTAATTTACTTACCTGGAGGGTAAGCAGCCAGGATACTCAATTACCCTTCAAAATTTCCCTAAACAAGATACTGTGAGTCCAGAGGACCTAGTGGGGCCTAGTTAATAGAAGATAGCCCCCCCCCCCCCCCCTTGCACTTAATCTTTGGTATTGTGAGGAATTTTTCCTTACATTCCTTCTTCCTATTTTCAAAAACTATTAATCCTGGTGTTCTACCTGTATTTCTACCCTTACCTTGATGAATAATTCTGCTATTTACAGAGCTAAAATTTATGATTCTTACAAACATTTGTTCATATTTTGTTAGCCAGGTTTACTTTGTGTATATCACAACACTGAATCCCCTGTAGGTGTGATTCATAAGGTATATTTCTCATATTTTAATCCTAATATCCTGGTACATTAAATGTGTTTCTTCTATTTTCTATTTTTATTTCTCTATATTCTTCTCTAATTTTGAATTAACAGTTAAGAGGGTTCCCATATCTATACAGTACATGTCTCCTGATTACATGTCTATCAGGTAACATCCTGCCTATTGTGAACGTCCCTCTCTCTAAAATAAAGGGTTTTCTACATCCTGGTTTTCTTGACTCCTGGTTGCTCTTTTTTCTCCACATACCTTTCCTGAAGTTAGGGGTTAAGTATTTTAGGCTTAGGCCTTTACCTTATATTCCTTGTAGTAAATATTCCTTGTTGTGCATCACCTTGGCTGTTGGTCCATGTTACTTCTCCTGTAGTTTTGATCTTCCGTCTGGATCACTTATGGAGGATGATTGGTTGTCCACCATTTTGCTATTGAGGGCCCATCATTGTTCAGGTAGCAGCCTTCCCTCACTAGTAATTACCTGTCCTTGTGTGGAGCACTAGGTTGAGCCTCAGTGCCCACCCTTTGGGGCTATGGCAAATTTTCGTATTTTGTTGGCTCCATATAGCCTTAAGTCAAGTGTTTATCCAATTGGATACTTCTTGTAGTTTGATTTCCACATCTGTGGGACATATCAGTGTCTGCTTTCCACCCCTCAGTTGGACTGCTTTTGGACATCTAGGATGTTTAAGAATTTACTACATTCCTGTGTCCCTAGAAAAATAGGACAATAAGATTTTTTTTCTTAGCACAAAATTATTTTCTTATATAATGCTTATAATTTACCTTATGTAATGCTTGCTCACAAATCTGAGGCATGATGGTTGGAAGCAGAGTTATGCAGGGGCTGGCTTAAAGTTTTTGTTTGCCATTGTCCCAACCTCCCAAAGGTAGCAGTATAACCCACATGTGTAAGAATTTACTACATTACTGTGTCCCTTATTGGACATCAAGAAAATTGATTTTACAGTAAACACAAAAATCGTATTTCTTTATTGCTTCATGGGGCTTATACTTTCCATAGTAACAGGATTTTTGGCTTGTTTAGACTGTCTTACAGAAACCCTTAGTTTGATTTTAACAAACAGATATGTCTAAACATCTCCCAAAACAAAGGGAAGGAATTGTCTTTACTCTTCCTGACATTGTACGCTAATCTTGTTCCATGTGATTCCTGTTCCTGTGACCTTATGACGTAAAAACTCAATATCCATGACCCTTACTGTGTACTAGCCCTGTGCAGCATGCTAATTCTGTTTTAGGATTGTTTCGCTCAGCACAGACATAAATTTTGTACTCCATCGCAAAGACAAAAAAAGAAAAGTTTTCATAAACATAACAGAAACAAATATAATTTAACAATGGGTATAAGGACTACTTTCTAACTTCCCAACTACCATCATCTATAGCAACCGATGAAAATGTATCTATTTCCGATTTGAAATAGAATGAATTGGTTACTATGGGTTATTGCACTTAAATAAGTACAATTGCCTTTTTGAACCTGAACTCTGTGAAAATGTAAAACATTTCAGGTGCTCTACACTTAGCGCTGATGCTCTGGAATGTGAGCACTCTGCATTCTTACTTACAATGCAGGGCAGTTGGTCCTGCATTGTGCGTGATGATGTGCATCTGACAGACGGAGCGCCACATGATGAGACTTTTGGGGACAGGTTGTACATAAAAGAGGAATGTGTCTCATCCAAGCACGTGAGGTGGGAGCAAAGGATAAGGTAAATAAAATTTGTATTTATTGTTTCCCTAGACAAAAACAATAATTTAATCCCTGCTGTGTGGTGGGATTCACACTGGAAGGGTAGTAGTTTTTACATTTCCCCAGAGTTCAGTTTAATTTTCCTGACTTAGCAGCCTCTAAGTATCTGCAAAAAACTGGCTGCAAGTAGGACCAGGTTGCCCATATTAAGTCTCATCAGTACTTGTCTTCATACCACTGCAAATGCTGTATGGCTTGCAGATTATTTTCAATATACTACATCAACTGTAAACTCACTGTGTCTTTAAAGTGAGACATGAAAAATTAACAAATCATATCCTTCTATAGTGTGTACTTCCCTCAGTCCAAAGCACTGAGTGTGATTTCCGTCTGGTTTCTGTGCTATCTGCATGAGACCTTTCTGACAGGTTATGCTGGCTAAAAGAGATCCAGGGGTGCAGGGGAGAGTAGCTATGTGTGCCCAGAAGTGGGGGTTTTGGAGCCGAGGGGATGATCAAGAGGAGGATGGAGGACATTGAGATGCAATGATTGGTCAGGGCACCAGTATTGAGGATAGCGTATGTACTCTCCAGCGCCTCAGGATATGCACAGCCAAAAGGGAAGCCAAGGGTACCAGGACAGTGACAACCAAAGGAAATGCTTCAGGGGTGCAGCCCTCCTCAGACGGGGAAATCAGCCACTGGATAGAGAGAAAACAGGTGGCGCACACACCTAGTGCATTATCCAAGGTTTATTGTAGGAATTAAATCATAAAAACATACTCACAGACAAAGCATGTATCTAAAAAGCATAGAAAAATGACAATGGCCACAACGGCGGGCAAGGTGTTCTCACTGTCAGTGCGGTCAAATGGCTGACGCGTTTCGGGGACGAATCCCTTTCCTCAGAGCTGATGACCAACCTCTGATGCTGATGCACGATGAATGGAAAGTAAAGTAAGAGCCCTGCTGTTGATGCCAGGTCTATCAGAGAACTGATGGAGTAAGGCCCAATGCACGCTGCTACACACGGTTGTGAGCTGTCATCCCCCGACTATCCTCTCTCCCTTCCACACACAGGCTCGGGGATCGCCTGCAAATGCCAATGAGATGAAACTGGGAGGTGTGCCTGCCAGCAGTCAATCCAATTTTAAACAATGGGGGCAGGGGCGGACTGACAACTCATGGGGCCCCCGGGCAATAGGGGATCATGGGGCTCCTGTGTCCTCGGCCACACTCAAACCACACCCAAAAAAGCCTGTGAAAAGTACCAGGGACATCTCATGGGGCCCCCTACTGACCCTGGGCCCTCGGGCACTGCCCGAACACCCAAATGGTCAGTCCGCCCCTGAATGGGGGGTGTGACTGGGAAAGAGAGATGCAGAGCGGCATCACCTGAGCCTGAAGAACTGGATAATGTGATAGAGGGCCACATGAGCCCCCTAGAGCAGGGGGGGGTTGCAATTACAACTCCTGTAGCTACACAAGTGGTGTCACTCCTCTGGCAGTTTGCAGCCCCTGCACCTCCTTGGCAACATCACTGGTATTGTGTCCTGAAGAGTAAAGATGTTCCTATGCAACCAGTGTGTCTGCAGAAAAAAGCACATTTTGATCCCTTCTCTGCTAATAAATGGCCCATGCATAGGCAACCACAGAAGCCACCACACAAGGCAAGAGATAACCACTTGGATACAGGTGCCAGGCTGAATGATGTGTTTATCAAAGGGATGCATTGGTGAGTGCATATAGCTCTTGAATAACTGCTCTTATTGATTCTGAATGAAAAGTAATGGTCAACATTTGCCTGACCTATTATTTTTTGTCAGATTTGGACATCATAGCATTATGTTGTAATCCTTTGCAGGTCAGCCCAACACCAAGGAAGAAAAATCTCAATGCATGATCTGCACTTCTACAGGCAGCTGGAGTGAGAACCTTGCAGTAGTTTTAAGGTGAAAACTTGAAAGTGAGGGTCATTTTTATCAGCCTGCACCAGGTTATCCTGTCATTTTGGGGCATAGTTTCCTGTATGTACTTTTATAGCTTGCTAAAACAACAGCTGGATGAAGAGTGACTAGTCAAAGTCTGTCTGGCAGTCGGATTTCTGGAGGGCAAATGATTTGTACTGGCCCAGATCTCACACCATCTGCAGCCCACACGCACTGAGAAAAGACATGAACACCCAGTGGAAAAATGAAGGTGACATATAAAATATCCCAGCTGTTCCACAATCCGCTGCCGACATCTCATCTTGACGTCTGCCACAGAGCGGCCATTTTCAATTCCGTATTAAACTTTATTGCCCAAATGTCACATTCCCCCAGAATATGCTTTCTCCGGCACAACCAACTGACCTGCACAATTAAATAGGAAAGGGACTGTGACTCCCAAAATAATGATTACACAATTGGAGACAAAACAGTAATTAGCATAATGATGTTCTTTTATAGTTACATAGACAACATTTATGCCTGCTTGTCTCAGACACCTTTCATTATAGCCAAACCTGACCTTGTGGGGTGGCTAATTAATGCCTATGATGTTGACTATCTGGTCTTTCCTGTTGTGTTAAGTCACTCTGTCAATTTATTCAAAGGATGGAGAGTACAAAGGTGACATTTTCACATTGTGGACACGCTGTAACTCTTTGTGATAAATGTTAGTAAAGAAGGCCAAAGACCAGCTGCATTACCATGTAATTTGCAAACAGTTCATTGAATAGGAAAGATAATTGTATCATTCACGCTATCAAAAATTACTGCCCACAATAAAAAAAAACAAAGATCAAAATTATTTTCAAACGCTGGAAATTTTTTGTTCACTGATTATAGTTTTCAGTCTTTATTAATTCAAACAATTCTGTACAGACAGCAGCAAAAGAATGTAATTGATTGTTGTGAATCTTCTAGTTTAAAGAGGTATTAAACCCCAAACCAAATATGTACTATATTGCAGCTTACCATTAGTGGTGGCTGTATCAGTTTTGGCTTTTTCCCTCTCTGTTTTCAGCTGGTGATCTGGCCAGTAATAAACATCCTGTATTATTGAGACACAGCTCTGTATGATTTATCACAGGAGGCACTGTCATTCTGGGGGGAGGGGAGTATTACATACACTAGCATATTTAAATACAGTAACAAACTGAAGCTCCAGTTCACACTTTATAGGGCTTTTTTTCAGCTGGAACTTGGTTGAACTTAGTTCCACGACCTCTGGCTCAGGCCCTCTGCTCCCTGCTTACCACCATCGCTTGCAAACACAAAAGTCCAGCTTCTGTGTTTACAAGTGACAGCTTGTCTCCTAATGGTTCCCACAGTAGTGATCTCCTAAACAGCTCCCACTGAGTGCAGGATTAGGACAGGTGAGATGCAGGAGCCCAGGGTACAGTGCAAATGCCAACAACCCCACTGGATGATCTCCCTGCAAGTGAGAGAGGAGAAGCCACCTACAGTGTGTGGGGAGGTACTAGAGCCAGCTGGGTGATTTAGCTTAATACAGCAACAAAAGTAAGACATTTGTAAGATGGCAGAGCTTTTAAGGAGGATGGGGAGAAGATGGGAGCATTGGAGAAAGGGGGTGTTGCAGAGCTGAAGAGGGGTGAAAGTGAGATGTGGATGGGGGATGTAGAAATAAGCAGCTGTAGAAGAAAGCTGAATTCTGCACTCTGTGTGTGATACACCGCTGAACTCTGTACTCTGTATGCAACACTCCCCTGAACTCTGCAATCTGTATGCAGCACTCCCCTGAACTCTGCACTATGTATGCAGCACTCCCCTGAACTCTGCAATCTGTATGCAGCACTCCCCTGAACTCTGCACTATGTATGCAGCACTCCCCTGAACTATGTATGCAGCAGTCTGCAACTCTGCACTTTGTATGCAGCACTCCCCTGAACTCTGCACTTTGCAGCATTCCCCTGAACTCTGCACTTTGTATGCAGCACTCCCCTGAATGCTGCACTTTGCAGCACTGCTCTAAACTCTGCACTTTGTATGCAGCACTCCCCTGAACTCTGCACTATGTATGCAGCACTCCCCTGAATGCTGCACTTTGCAGCACTCCCCTAAACTCTGCACTTTGTATGCAGCACTCCCCTGAACTCTGCACTTTGTATGCTGCACTCCCCTGAATGCTGCACTTTGCAGCACTCCCCTAACCTCTGCACTTTGTATGCAGCACTCCCCTGAACTCTGCACTATATATGCAGCACTCCCCTGAACTCTGCACTATATATGCAGCACTCACCTGAACTCTGCACTTTGTATGCAGTACTCCCCTAAACTCTGCACTATGTATGCAGCACTCCCCTGAACTCTGCACTATGCATGCAGCACTTCTCTGAACTCTGCACTTTATATGTAATGCACCCCAAATTCTGCAAGCAGTGCACCCCTGAACTTTGCATTCTGTGTGTAACCCCCCTGCACTCTGTACCTAATGCTCTCTTGGTATTCAATGCCCCTTTCAGACCCTCCTACTGTTAGTGAAATTTGACTACACCCTTTAATTGATGCGATTTGGAGAGTGTGTGTGTGTGTAGGGGGGTCGTGGTTGAGTTCCTGCAACTATTTTCTGAAAAAAAAGAGTCCTGGTTACAGCATTTTTTCCTTTTCGGATAAAGATTTTACATGAATAAATAAAAGCTGATCCTTTTAATAACCCCTGCCAGTAGTAAATGAATTGTCTCATTCATGAAAACTGATACATTTTGCTGGAGAGCTTGTGCTTTTGAAAAACAACACACTTGCTGGCTGGGTCACCAGAAGCAAATAGAAAAATGAACCAGAGGCTTAGCTGGGGGGGCAGGGGGGTACATATGTACCCGGGAGCCAAGGTACAGGGGAGCCAAAATGAGGCTTACAACGAAGGGACACTTAGTACAGGGGCGGGCAGCGGGCTGCTGTGTCTTACCTGGCTCCATGTCCCAGTCCCACGACGATCCAGTACAGGAGGCGCTGCTGGAGGAGGGGTAGAGAGGTCCGCAGGTCCGGTGTCTTCTTTTCCCTGGACGCGATGTGTGGGTGGGATGACATGCAGCCCCTGTCATCTGGCCACACCCTCGGGATCACTGGACAGCCTATGGCAGCTCGTACCTCCCTCTGCAAGCTCCACCTCCTCACTGATTGGGCGCCAGAACTGTAGCTCAGGAAAGGCACACAGGCGGCCAATCACCTTCGAGGAGGCGGAGCTTGGAGAGGAGGAGCCGAGCGGCAGCGCGAAGATCGAGTAAGTGAGCGGCCAGAGCAAGTGAAGAAGACAGCTGATCGGTAAGTGTGCCGTGCAGATGGTGCTGCTGCAACCAGGTATGCTGGCTGTGGATGGGAGAGGGAAGGAGCCTAGGCTGGAGCAGGGGTCAGCAAGGTAAGTGTCATTGGTGTCAGTGGGAGGAATAGTGCCCCATCATTGGTGTCACTGATGTGATTAAACGGGGAGGGGGGCTGGGGCGCCAATTTTATAGTTCGTCCCCGGGCGCAAATTATCCTAGCTACGCCTCTGGAATGAACGCCTTAAAAAACAATACTAATCACATCTAAGAATTGGTAAGCTGCAATGTAATAAATGTTTGGTTTTGGGTTTAATAACACTTTAAGGAAAAACTTACAACCAGGAAAGCAATGTTTTAGATCATGGTTATGATTACTTTGATACCACAAAGATATAAAGTTATTTAGTAGAAACTCCTCCGAAAACAATAAGATATTAAAAATAATATAACTATTGCTAATGCAAATATCACCTTCAACTCCAGCAGCACAGTGCAAAGTAAGAAATACCCACACACATAAATCAGACCTGGTTCACACCTGCATTGTTTGGTGCTTTTTGCAGAAACCATTACACTCGATTTAACATGGTTTCCTATGGGACATGTTCGCATCTATGCTTTTTTCAGCCACTGCATTTTTTGGAAGGGTCAGGGACTTTTTTAAATGCAAAATGGTGCATTTTTGGGTTCAAGAGACTTCAATGGAGACGCTGCAGAAAAGCATGTACTGCGTTTTTAACACACTTTTGATGAGTTTTTTATGTTGTTTTTAAAATGCCCAACAACAAATTGTCCAAAAAAGCATGAAAAACACATCAAAAAGCTTATGCAAAATGCATAAAAAAAGACGTGTGCAAAAATGCAAAGCACACCGCAAAAAGCACTGCAGAAACAGATCAAAAGCAAACTGTATAGATGTGAACCAGGCCCTGGGGGCCCCACTACATCTCTGCAGTGCTTTGTAATAGGATATCACATGCAGTATTTTGCATGCTAAAATATGTTGCATTAAGGGTTCTTGCACAAAGGACCCAAAAACGCCATTTTATCATAAAAAAAGTGCTTAGATCAGTAAAAAATAAAAAATCTACATTACTGCTCAGTATTTAGCACATAAATCACATCTCCCCCGTAATATAGTAGATTACAGTATTTTATTATAATATTTGGCAATCAGTGAGCTAGAAGATTTTTTAAGTGCACATGCATGCACTATATAGAACATACTCACGATTTATATGC